TGCTGTCGTAACGATCAAAGCATAATAGCATCAAAGAGCTATAAAATCAAAACAAGTACGGCAATGGCGGTTTTTCGCCTCCCTAGATGGTTGAGGTTGATAGGAAATCGCGTATGGATTGTCCGATCATCATTCGATTATACGCTACGTGTATCAGCGGTATCTTTATTACAAAAACGGTTCCGGTTGTAAAAGCCACTGGTAATATCGTACCGTTCGATGCGTATCACATGCGGAAAAGTATAAATTTTAACGAACGCTTCTTGTATGCGCAGGCACACACACAGCACCGATTCGCCGAATGCGTGTGTGTGAAAGTGGCTTCGGTGGTGATGATGGCGGTGCTCCAAAATAGAACCGATGCGATTAAATTATTTGGCACTGAAGTGTGAATAAGAAAATAAACCCGAATCTGCACATACACGATACATAATCAGAGTAGTCTCAAAGCGCGCTCTACCACTTCCTTCACATTCATTTCACGCATTTTTGCATTTTCGGCCGAACGCTTTTCCTGTTTCCTTTTCAGACGGATAGACTCATATGTAGGCCGCTCAGCAGACAAACACACGCCCCACATAAGCATTCCATTCATTTACATCACTTCGACTTATTTTTGGTGTACGCGTAATTCGTGATAATCACTGATAAGACATTTGATGATAAGATTGTTGTTGTTCGGCATTGCCATGGAACCGCATTTTTATGGATGCAATCGTCGGAGAGTGCGTGTGTGCGAATATTTGTATGCGTGGATTGGCATGTTTGTCGAAACAACAATTGAAATCGCGTCTTGTGTGCCCATAGTGTTCTGTTTGAAAAGAAGACGAGGAAAAGAACATGCTCGATGAATTTCGTCAGTGGGGTGAAAATAGCAAAATTTAATTCGTTTTATTGTTATGGCTTAATTCCGAAAATTACAAATAAAAAGCGGTATGCGCAGCAATCACACCAAACAAATGATAATGAGATCCATAAAAAATGCAAGGAAGCGTGAACACGCAATTTCAACATTTTTACTTAATGCGAAAATTTATAGCCCCACACGCACATACGTATACATTTGGCTACAGACATCACGCAAATGATTTCGCTTCTTTCATGTCGCCGATTTTTATTATTATTCTTTCTTTTTTGTTGAAAAATCGGCACCAAAATTACGCTTCACAATTCTCTGATAACAATCGTCAATCTTTTGTTCCGCAAAAAAAAATCGATTCCAATTCATTTGCATTGCGCGCATTTTTCGCATGAAAAATAAATTTTCGATTTTTTTTTTTGGCATGCGCGTATGTGTGTATTGTGTTCTCTGCTTATGATTATGTCCAGCTCACTAGTTTTATTCACAGAAAAAGTCATTGGATATCTGTAATTGTGGCCTCATCGTCGTGTAAAGTAACAAAAATGGATTTAACGTAAGAACGCTGTTGAATTGGTTGGACTTCATTGTGGAAAGTGATTATGAATGAAAATCACAGAATTAATCCATGCCATTGATGAAATGTGAACGAGACACGCTTTTCCATGGCGCAAGAAATCTTATAATGTATCAATTTTGTGCTTTATTATTGAATTGATGATGTCTTTGGAATTGTAAACACCTCAATTTTAAGTCATATGATTCCATTGTGAGATTTTCTCAAGGGTGTGGTATACGGGTATGAATGAAACACGAGCGGTATGAGTGAGTGTCAAGTAGAGACTGACTATTTATTAATGCTATTATTATTATTATTTATTCTATTGACAATCGGTGTGACTATGTTTATTATGTCTCACTAAATCGCTCCGATATTATTCGAATTCTCCGCATTTCATGGTTCATTCAAACTGATGTTTTAATTCATAGCAAGATGTGATTTCCATTCATACAATTTTTGCTATTTATATCCATTGAATTGAAGGGAAGATTTCGAAGAAAAATTCTTGGACCAGCAGTCTCGCATTATAATTTCCCATTTGAGTGCAAAGCCACAGAAAACAAAATACTCGTTCGATTGAAATGTCTTGAAAATTGGAATCTCTTATTTTAGGGCGAACAATTACTCGAGTGGCTTGAGCCAAAGTAGAAAGTACTGAACATTTCGATTACACCAATTTACTGTTATTTTATACCAATTGAGTGGAATTGGTTCCGGTGAAACTAGGAATTTCATTTGAAAACTTCCCCAAAATTCAAGTTGTGTTTTGGCAATACCGAAAACTAAAAATTCCCTCAAGCATCGTATGATGATGTAACGCCAACGGTATACGTTTACACCTTTCAACAGGAAAATGGATATTAACCGCAAGCAAGTCGTTAAAACTCATTCAACCGTATTCCCAATTCATCATCAATAACATGGAAATGTGGAGCTAGCATTGTGGTTTTTGGCATCGAGAAAATGCTTTTTGGCACTTTAACAAGCTACACCACCTCAATTTACTTTGACTGCTCTATAATTGTTTTTCAAAAAATTCTTCGCCCCACCCATCATGACCAATGCATACCAATTACAAATATTTACAACCTCTTGTTTTCAATCCCACAAAAGCTTCAAATGATATTTGCGCAAATTCCATTGCCAAATGATTCGCTTTAAATCAACAATACATTGAATTCCAAATGAAATCGATGCAATTGATTGACCAGTCCGATCGAAATGGAATAAAAAATAGTTCCATATTTTTTAGGCCAGTTTTAGTTTCAACAAAAATGCCAAAATTCTGCACCTAAAATGCCGATGAACAAGTGTGAAAAGATTTTAATATTTTTTGAATTTTGAATTTTGTCAGAGATGAAGTCACTATATTTCTTCAAGAGAATAAAGAAAACAAGGTTGAAGATGGATTTAATTGCACTGCATAATTGTTGTACTGCGAAGGTTTTTGAATTAAATGACTAATTGGTATGTACCATAGTGTTAAATGTACATTGTTTCATGTGATAGACAGAATATTAAATTGGCAAAAGCTGCCTCTTCTTATTACATTACATCATCCATAGATATACTTCATTGACAAACGGTGTCATTCATCACCAGCAAATAATTGTGCAATCAAATTCGATCGATAGTTACAGCCGTCTGGCACGTAATACAATCGAAGTGAGAAAATTTGATACATTTAATCGAGCTTCTCGTTACAAATAGGATCTCGGTCATCGTTGACAGAATGTGGTCCATTTTAATAGACGACACATATCCATGATTGCAACAATTCATTGGCAATATGTAAAATGATGTGTTTCGAGGCGAATGGTTCTTATAATAATAATGGATCGTTTATCACGCAAAACGTGTTTGATGATGGATTCCACTCGCATCATTTTTGAGTTAAAATATGGACGAGTTGAGGCGATTGCTTGAAGCTGACATTTAGATTGTCAATATAAGAAGATTTTGTACATTGGATTTTAAAATCCCTCGAGTGACAAAAGTGGTATTTTCCCAAGAGCTCACATGACTGCTTTGATATTGTATTTCGTGAGTGTTTCAAGGAGATAGGTTAAAAAGATTGTATCCACATTCCACATGCATCAAGCGTCTGTCGAACCGTGTATGTACCTAACGCCATGTCAATGACGATGGCCAATAGCCCCCAAATAGATCCATTTGATATCTATTTCATGCATGATGACGATTCGGTTTTATTGTCGTTTCATCGTCTCGATCGTATTTTTTTCTGTAAACAATAGCTGGAATTTAAGTCGCACGCATCACTGGCTTTTCATCGAACTTATGACATCGTCAATCATCATAGTCGCACAAGCAGAGAGTAAACACATTATGGGTCAATAAACGTTTGCTATAAGTCTTCAGGACTAATTACGTCAAATCGAACAATAGCAGAGTATCGCACCAAACTGAAAACGAAATTTTCTTCTCGCCTACAAAACAGCCAGCTGCAGACATGTTTTGTGGTAGAATTCCAGTGAAAGGATACACAATATCCTTTAGTCGTACACAGACGCAACTAAATAAGGAACAATTTCACCTAATTGAGATGGCTAAAAAAGTCACTTTTTTTCCCTTGTCACAATATTTTTATTTTTATTCAAACCAGAACAAAAGCCCAGACGAAATGAGTTAAAATGATATCAATCACAACGCGTTTTCAACAGACGACCTTTCTTTCTTCGTCATTGTCAGAGTGATTTGTTTTTGGGGCGACATCAAAATCTCAAATAACATAATCAACAAATTAAACGTTTTTTTATTTCCACGAATCGTGTTTTGTATTCCATTGCAGAATAATTACAAACTGGAGCATTCCATCGCTGAAAAATTTTCTTTTCCTTAATCTAATCCATTTTTAAATGTAGACAAAAAAGTAGTTTTTTTTTCTTTCATTTCATTCATTTTTTTGCGAGTTTCTTTGATAAACTATTATTTGTTTCTTAAGAAACTAGTTGCGTTGTCTCGTTGTCTTAATCTAGAATGAATGCAAAAACTCTTAAAAACTTTTTGAATGGCATTGTGATTCTTGTCGCTGCGACAGAATATTTGCATCATTGCCAAGTGAAATTAAAAGAATTGCATTAATAGCGGATGAGAACGGTCTGCGACTGCGTAAAAAACAGTTTAATGAAGAGTTTTCTCGGTAAAGTTCGTCCCTATAATAATATATATAAATATGTACCACGAACAATTCTGTGAAACAAAACAAAACACAGAGACACACAGGAACATTGAGAGAACAAATTTAATTTACTTCTTTCGATTAAATTTTCATTTTGAAAACTATGCCATTGAGCTACACTGATATTTGTAAAATGAAAGAGCGCTTTCTAGAGGCACACCCGCGCCGCCGTCAATCTTCCGAATGTCCCCATTTCACGACTTTTGTTTTGGCTTTGCGTGTGTTTGTTTTTTATGCAGCATTTTACAGTCGTTATCTTAAACTAATTTAAAGTGGAAATTGACGATGCAAAAGAAGACTGAGGGGAAAAAACTCCGAGCACAACTAATGCGAACGACTTCGAACGTAAATTTGTCGTCAACACGATAATAAAAGCACCATTTTATTGTAATTCCTTCCTCAAAAATTTTATTTTGTTCGTTTATGTTGTTTTTTACTAATGGTGGGGCACACGATGCATTCCACAAAGTTTTCATTCGCTTCGTTTAAAAACTACATGAAATTCTATTGTTCTTGTTCAACAACATTGAAGATTCCAAGATATAAAAATGCATTCATAAAATGACGACGCATTCGTTAGATATGCCAAGGCAGATTTTTCTCCGTTTTTTTTTCTTCGCAATTAGTTAGTTTCAATGAATCATATTGCTTTGATTGTAAAACTTCCCTATGTTTAATAAGAGCTATTGATTCGTTTATTTGAATAGATAATTCACCTATTGTAGTCAGTATTGCTTCTACTTGATTATTTAATAAAAAAGCAATAAATTTAAATTGCACTGTACATTCATTAGAATTGGCATTACTTCACTATGAAAGAATGCACATTGCACAGCACGTCTATTTTCTATGTAAAACGTTCAAGTCGATTCCACCTCGAAGGACCAGCGTCACAGAATGATTGTCAAATTCCAGTTCGCCTTTCTTCAAGCATTCAAAGTCGTATTTCTGCAGGAGCATGATCAGGCCGATTTTTGTTACCATTTTTCCCATTCTTAACCCAATGCATGTTCGAGGACCATCACCAAATGGAATTAATGCAGCTGGATTGTAATTTGGATTATCCTCCGAGTATCGATCCGGCATGTATTTGAACGGCTCAGGAAAGTTTTTGGCGTCTCTCATGAGACCAAGGTGTGAAATGATGATTGGAGTTCCTTCTTTGATCACTAAATCCGTATTTGGTATTGGGTAGTCCTTCGTACAGATACGATTGAGAAACGGTAGCGTTGGATACATGCGCAATGATTCTAATTAATACAAAAATGTTTCTTATTTTCGGAAATTGCGGAGTGTGTGGTGAATACACATTTCTTTACCCATAACACAATGTTCCAAAAAGGGCATTTCGTTGATACTTTCATACGAAATGACATTATTATGTCGTTCCAGTACTTCGTCAACTTCTTCATGTAATCGTTGCATCAGCTCTGGATTTCGCGACAATTCAAATAAGGTGTACGCAACTGCTGAAGCCGTTGTATCAAAGCCAGCCAAATAAAACAGAGCCACTTGTGCTGCACATTGTTCAATTGTCATGAATTCCTTGGGATTATTCTTTGATTGTTCGGTTATTTCTGCATCATCATCACCTCTCACTTGGCCCGTTTTCCGTAATTCCATCAACAATTGAATGAAATCTTTGCGAGTCACATTATTCTCTTCCCGATACGTCATCGTATCGTTTACAATTTTAACCATATGCGATTTGAATTCATCGGATAACGATGACATTCGAAGCACATCGAGTATCCTTGAAATAGATTAAATTGGCTTAAATTGAGTTAATTTCAATTTATCAATTGCGTTGGTAAAATGGGCTGATAATAAGTTCAAGGCTATTTAAAAATACTAACTTTGGACAAAAGAACGCTCCAATCAACCGTAATCTATTGATTATTTCGCCATTGTTTACAAGTTTTTCAATGTCTCGGAATGGATCATTTGCATCTTCAATGGTATTTACATTCAATCCAAAGGCTACCGTGCCAACCACATCCATCGCAAATCTGAATTTATTTTTTAATAAATGAGAATTAATAAGAACTGTTATTTAAAAAAAAAAAACGATCTCATACCTAATTGTCAGATCTTTAATTTCAATAGAACCGTTTGTGTCGGCAGCATTCGCCACTTGTTTGCGTAATCGTTCACCAATGCTGATGATTGCCGGCATCATGCTCTTGAGTTTGCCCGATGTAAATGTTGGTGTCAGCTTTGCTCTAGTTGTTCTCCATTCTTGGCCGGTCATCATGAGCATGTTATTAGCAATGGGATCGTTTGGATTGTGATAAATTCCACGATCATAAAAACTGTTGGCATCCGTTGATAGAATTTTTTTTCACGAGGTCAGCATCGCGTGCCAATAGCGCGGGTCGAAACAGCAAATAAATACCAACGATTGGCTCATTCGAACTTTTATACAGGTCATACAAATTCATTCCCATACATTGTCGGCCCATCGAACATTCGGACACATTACCAAAGGGAATCGTCGGTTTAATGTATGGGAATTTCGTTCGTTCCCAAAAACTGTACACATGCTTTATGTAAAAATACAAAACACTGAACAAAACTATCAGCAAATAAAAAATGAACATTTTTCGCTTCAAATTAAATTCGCGTATTTCAATTGAATCGTCAATTTTGTATGGAATTGTGTTGAAAAAGGAGACGAAAAATTTAAATCGTAATAACAACCACTTCGTAGTCGGTCTACGTATCTGGAACGCGCCAAATCAACTGAACTCTAAACTGGAATACAAAACCATTTTTACTCTCAGAACACTTGCAACGTTTTTTTTTTGCTATACATACCGTAATCTATCCTTGAAAAAACAGACGCAAATTACATCATACAGATTTAATTGAAACAAGAAAAAAAACGCTTTTTAATAAATAAAGATATCTTGAATTACAAGAGAAAAAAATGTCCGATTGCTAATAATCTATTGCATCGGCAATAAAATAGCTTATATTTAAACTGAGTTTTAATGCCGTTATCTTAATTTTCAATTTCAGTGACTGGGATTCAGTCATTGCAATTTTCACAAATTGATTTTACAATCGGCATGTTATCAACATGAACTCTTGTTGTGATGGAACGTAAATAAAAACACACTGCGAATTGACGAAGCGTTGAGTGGCATCATCAAGGCATGTTTAACTTGTGAAGTGAGTTTATTTCGAATGAACGCTGTCATTTATATGTCTCATATAAATGATGTGCACATTGTGCACTGCACGATTTGTATGAGGCGCAGTTTTTCTGCGAATCAAATAAAAAACTACGTCCAATTTACAATAAAATCAAGAGCATCTTTTTTTTCCTTACTACTCGTCTTTTTTCATTGATCATTTGACTTTTAGAGTTACTCTCAATTGAAATTCAAGTAGTAAATTAGTGGTTTGCATTCAACTCCATCTACCCATTTTTACAGCAGTTTTGTTCTATTGAGTTGCGGTTTCAACTATTTTTGGGCGAAATTATCTCAAAAGTATGCTAAAATGAGTTATTTGTTATGCAAATGCTCAAACGACTACTGTTAATGTACGCACTGATTCAGTAATCCATAGACATGCAATGGCTACTAGATGACAAATTTACAATATACTCGAGTGCGTGTATTTACGCGTACATTTCCGGTAGCCGTTTGAGCGTTCGCATAATAACTCATTTTAGTATACTTTTGAGATAATTTCGCCCAAAAATAGTTGAAATCGTTATATGCAGTCTACTCGATACTACTCAATAGAACACAACTACTGGAAAAATCCGTAGATGGAGTTAGGCGCCCATACCAAATGTAATGTATTGAAACTTCATATACATGGCTCTCTCTGTATGTTACCATCTAATAGCATTTAAACGTCAAATATATCAAACTATCCCATTTTTCCTATAGTAAAATCAGTGCATCAATCAAAAAGCGAAAATCATATGCCAGACTGATGTGAAAGTGTTTCACGCGCAGACGATGCCGAAGAAAATAAGCCAAATGTATTGAATGCATTGAGCGTATTGAGAATATTGGTGTGTTAAAGTGTTTCATAGTTTGCAACTATGATTTCAATGTAATTTTATCGCCTCGATCGACGATATTGCAAAGTTTTTAAGTATAAGCATCTTTAGTTTTTCTTTGTTGTGAAAAACGTTTTCCAGGTATCTGACGGCAACACAAACACGAACAATAGCAAAATACGATGGCAAAAATATACGGTAGTTTCGGTGTGTTCTCATTTTATAACACACTTTCCAAAGGTAAATTTTACCATCAACATCTCAAACGCGCTTCCACTCGCTCGTTCGCTCGATGCACACACGCAAAATTGCTACGACTGCTTGTTTGAGTAAGAGAGAGAGAGAGAGAGAGAGAGTTCAGGTGAAAAGCTTCTTTTCGCACGACTTACCTGTGCATTCAATTTGTAAAATAAACTCACTTACTTTTATTGCAACAAACGAGAGCAGAAACATCGTGAATCAGATTGTTGTGTTTGTCGAGCAGTATGTATTCGGCATGCGTATCATATACGAAGTACGGCGAATGTATGTGATAGAATTTTTGTGTGTATTTTCTTCGTTGTTGGTGGTGGATTGCGCGCATTCTCATCCATTTAATACTTCTGATAACATTTAATTTAATGTTTCGAGTACAGTAAATAACGATTAACGATTAAAAGCCATTGTTCCGAGTTGAATGCCGAAGGAATTTTTATGGTTGTTTGTCGAAGACGAAGTTTAAACCATTTCAGCTATCTCTCTCTCTCTCTCTCTCTCTCTCTCTCGAATGGGATATTGAGCAAAATCATTGTTTATTTCTCATCGTTTGCTTTTCTCCTTCTAACCCACCCTCTCTCTCTCTCTCTCTCTCTCTCTCTCTCGTTGTCTTCATGGTTTCGGGTGTCTTTCCGCAATAAATCGTTGAAAAATTGCCCGCATTCACATTGTTTGTATGCGAAGAGTTCATAGGTTGGTGCGTCGTGGTAGCGATGGTAAATCATTAAATTGCATATCATATTCAATGGGTATCACGCAAAATATGCGTAACATTAGTCATCTAAAAGTCTCGGTGTTTCAAATAGATTTGCGGTGAAATTGCCGACTGTGTATGTGCCAGTGGGTACGACGTATAAAGCAAGTCATAATTTTATTAATTATCGTCAATTGAGTTGAGGCAAGCGCGCGCCCGCTTTTGCAACATATTTACGACAAATTTTGCGGTGGTTTCCACCCAACGAATCAGGTTCTCCATCAAAACACCACTTCGGCCACTAATGTGCGATGGTAAATCATTTTCGAATGCTATGAAACTTATACGAATTCCATTTATATATCGTATCACAACAAATCATCTTCATTCGGCAAAGTCTGAACATGAAAAACTACGCGGCATTTATTGCACAACATTATTTTGACGTTTTACAAAATCGTCTAGACACCACCTGACTCTCCCACTTGTACAGCATCGAGAGAGCATTGTGCAGGCAATAATCATCATGTGTATATCATACATATTCCGGATTAACACAATTGATAACCACTGACATACAGATAAGTTCGTAATAAGTCAATTAGATTTTCCTAATTGCCATTTGTCATCATTCACACCGATGCATGCAAGGGAATTGCCGTAAGAGATCATCAAATTGACGATGACGATGAATTCAAGGATACTCCAAAGTGACAAATAAACTTTCTTTAATAATCTTTAGATGAGATATCGTAATTTTGATTAGTTCGAAATTGAAACTGTCGTGTAGAACAATTTTTCTAAAAATAAATATTCCGATATTTTCCTCCTCCTTTTGTTATAGTGGAAACCCTTTTTCGCGACAAGAATGCGGAAATTTGTTGTTAGGGATGAAAATGGCGAAAAAAAAGTCGGAAGCTATAATGATGAATGATAGCTATTAAGTTGTTAACTCGAACATATCACTTTTTATACGATAAAATTCCGCCATGCACACAGTTCGATTGACGAACGCACACAACTATTTCCCAGTTTCGTTATTGACACGAAAATGGAAAATAAATAGGAATTGAAATTGAAATGTTGACATATTTTGTCTTTGGGGATTGTTTGTTGTCAACGCCAAATAAAAGATTATATTGCAAGTAATTGAAATCGCACGCGATTGGCTTGACATTGTAGGGAATCCACAGCACAGAATTGCTTGCCATATACTGCAATAATATTCGATAGAAATCCAACTTTAGTGTGCAATAAAAGTCCTCTAGTAATTTGATTCGACGGAGAAATTGTATTCGCGTATGTATGTACGATGGGGTAGATCTGTGTAACCTGAGCAATTTTAGCATTGCGGTTACAATGGAACGCATGCATTTGTGTCATACACACTGTGTTGGAAATGGATTTTGAAGCGTTTGTTTGGATTAGCCATGATTACATATTTGCATGTGATTTATTTCGATTGAGTCTAAGTAAATACGTAAAACAACTCACATTCAAAGTCGACAATTGAATTTGAATTCCAATTGAAACTTGCAACGAATCGCATTCAATGCAGATGACACACGAAACACGGATGCATCGCCGTTAATAACATCTGATTCCATTTGAATTACACGTAACGAATGGCAAACACTGGTTTTGTGATGCCAAATTCAGTCAACAGTTTTGGTTATTGCCAATCATTGAATCGTAGATTCAACACGTCAGACCGAATATTCAGGAGGTGAAAATATCGCTGAAGATGAAATGAATTTTGCTGCTTGAAATCAATTTTGAATTATCCATTAGGTTATTGTATGGGATTCGAAATGAGCGAATTTGAAAAAGTTTGTTTCATTTATGAGCACATTTTCGACATTTCAATGACGTCACTTGAATTGAAAAAAAGGGCCAAATATCCTACGATCCACATCAATTACATCGAAAATCGCTATATTTACACAATCATAAATGATTCTGATCAGTGTCACAGCTCCATTTCAGAAATTAATCACATTAAACATAGAAATGCGATTCAAAAATAGGCGACTTCACGTGCAAACAAGCGTCAAAGGACAGTTTGATGCACACAATGCCATTTTAATTGAGGCAAGGAAATATAAATAAATACGTCTAGTAAATGTAATATGCGGTAAAAATAGGTAAACAGGCGAAAAAGATGCGATGCCAGATACAGATACACACAGACGACGGGAATTTATTCGAATGTTATTGGAGAAACAGTATTGATTAGAAATTCACGTACATACACAGTTCGTCGTCGTCGTCGTCGTCGTCGTCATCGTTCGTTCGTTGAGAACCTCTTCCATGAACCGCAATTTATTGAAAGCCCTTGGAATTGAGAAAATCAGCTCTGTTCAATGTATCGAGTGATATGTAAATAATGAAGATTATCGACATTTCCGACATTCATTTTGATTCGCCCCGGTGTCGGATCTCTCGTCAGCCATTGTGCTGTTGGATTTTCAACGCGCACTTCTATTTAGGAGATTGGTTTTGTTTGCCCTCTGTGATTCCATCGTCGGTATCTCACATTCGCTTTCGCACATACGGTTGGTTGCCGTGCAAGAGCAATAATGTGCAATATTGTGTGTAATGTAAGAGAACGTAATTTCGGATATGTTTGATTTACACACGAAATTTGGACTTCTGTAGAGTACACCAAGCATCCGTGTTGCCACGGAGATAGAAAATGTGTTGTGTGTATCATATTAAGCAGATTAAAATGCAAAATCGCGAGCGTGTCGTGGCGATGGTGAAAAGCAAATTTATTTAGTGCGGC